TTCCAGTAATTAAATGTTAAGTGTTATTAAGAATTTCCATTCAAATAACACTAATAATTTTTGTATTATATGAATATTTTGTGTAACCAGCAAGTAAACCAAAATTGCATACAGTCTACGTAACTTTAATTTACTAGAGTAGCTGGTTTTAATACTGTAATTTTTAATTTAATTAATGTCAGGGCTAGCCTTTCCTGAGAGTGGTAGTGACCTACTGTGACTAAGTTCCACTTACCTCACCCAAATTACTTGCAGGTAATAATTCAGGTAATGTTCTGTAAACCTCCTGCAAGTGATTTACTCACATAATAATAATAATAATAATAATAATAATAATAATAATAATAATAATAATAATAATAATAATAATAATAATAATAATAATAATAATAGTAATAATTTTCACAGTAGTAGTAGTAGCAGTAGTAATTGAATCAATAGTTGTAGCAGTAATAGGGTTAGTACTTGTAGTGGTTATGGTAGAAACAGGAGAAGTGTAGTAGTAATAAGGAATAAGAATGACTTCCAAATCAGTAAACGTTTTACGTAGTATTTACCTCAAAATCTAAGCGGGTTTTGGCATGGTACAGTACCACCACTGGTTGTCTCGTTGACGTAAACACAACCTAAGTACTTCAACCTTACTGAAAAAAAACACAAAATATTGTGAATTATTCTATTTTATATTTCAGTGTATTCTGCCATCATATATTATAAATTCAGAATATTAATAATACATTTACGGAAATAATACAGTTAATATCACTTTCAGTTAACTTATGTACACTGAGTTAACTCTGATTCTTCGCCATTACTGGAGAACTTGACTTATGGTACGACTAACAACGTGGTTATTGGCGCCGCCAGGTATAATAACTGACTCAAAATAAGGGAAACTAATGTACATTGTTATGGATTTCATCACACAGTGAATTACTCCTTCATGATAAAGTGTCATGAAGGAATATGTAGAATATAGCGTTAGTATATCTAGTTTAGTTTTAGAAATATTAGAATGAAGTAAATAACGAAAGTAAATGTCGTGAGACGCATTAACGAGCCAGAGAAAATCATTCTCTCGCTGCGATATCATGGAATTAGACAAGCATGTTTATGGAGCAATTTTAATGTTACAAGCTGATCGATGTTAAAGTATAAATGTCTCTGGAAGTTTAACAGAGACACAGATGACGGTTAAACTATATGCAAAGTTTTTATTTGTGTTTTATCGTCTAATTGTTGAGGAATGTAAACCCAGACAGTGTAATAACCTTCGCTAACTGTCGAGGTACTGTCTTATTAATGAAAATAAGTTACAAAACATAATTAGTAAATATCGTAAATTTTCTTGCAACTGATGAGTCAACTCTAGATATAAATCTAGATGTGTTCCCATTAAGCCTTTTTGGGGCCTACTTTCTGGGCCATTTATATATCCATATGTAGGTAAACTAGCGAGATGTAATCTCGGGAGATATTTACGTATACTGTGATTCTAGTCAAGGTTTTCATTGGCCAGAAAAATGGTAAACATCGAACTTAAGCTTAAGAAATCATACAGGAGCCAAGAAACACAGAAAGAACTTAAAGCAATAAACGAAATTGATACAAAAAAAATTATTTTCTTATTCTAAATTTAGGGCAAAAACCACAGCCAGAATTGGGCCCCTGTTTAAACAAGATGTGACTTACACAGATGACAACAATGAACTGTGAGATACAGAAGTACCAGTATGACTCATCGTGTAGTGGGCAGTTAATAAGACTAAATGAATTGTTTTTTTTTTTTTTGACTGAGACTCAAAATGTGGGTAATTCAAGAATTTCTGATATAATCCTAACACCATAGGACTTTCAAAAAGCAATGAATGACATGCTCATGCACTCTGTCCCGGTACAGACTCGTGGAACTCCGTGTTCGTCAATAACTGCAAAGAAGCCGCCTTTAACGTGCATTAAATATTCCGTGGAGAGGGAGCATAGACACAGGGTCGTCCCACAGTCACTAAAAACAACGGATATAGCCTCACTCCACAAAGATGGCAGAAAAGCATTAAAAGAAATACAGATAGATAGCACTAACATTCCATATCATAACAATCTTTATAATGGTGCTTAGAAGCAAGATCGCCAACCACTTGGATACCTAACAATGGCACAACCAAGGGCAGCATAGGTTTAGAGCAGGTCGCTCCTGCTACTGGACAACTGTGACATGATCCAGGATGCACCGGAGGACAAACAAAATGCCGACTTTGCAACAGCCTTCGCACACAATATGTGTCATTAATAAATAAGAAAGGTGGAAAGATGTATCTATAACTTCCTGATAAATAGAACACAAACAGTAATACTACACAGAGTAAAGTCAATGGCGGTTACAGTGAAGAGCTCTGTTCCACAAGTTACAGTACTCGCCCCTTGTGAAGGCTCACTCAGCTCTGTCAGACCCTCTGAGAGTACCTACATAGAGTGTTGTCAGTTCTACTTGTGGTACTGTTCTGACCTTTAAGGGTGCTACCCTGGCCTTTGAAGTAATTAGTGTACTTCCTTCAGCATTACTCATGTAAGCTACAGCGCCATAACCTCTGGTTGACGCATCACAGAACACATGTAATGTGTACTTGTTTCCCTCTTGACCTATTTGTCTGGGAAATTTAATTTGATGAAGTTGTTTAAACTCCTTGGATATTTCATCCCATGCTTGACTCATTTCTAGAGGCAAGTTCTCATCCCATCCAATTTTGAGTTTCCATGCATCTTGCATAAGCATTTTACCCTTTATGGTAATTGGTGAGACGAGTCCTAGAGGATCAAAACATTGTGATACCTCTGACAGTAAACTACGTTTAGTGAGTGTACTGCATGATTTATTGTTTATCCTTTTGAGACTCAAAGTATCTTCCTGTGTGTTCCAATTAAGTCCCAGCATATTGTTGCAATTAGGAATTTCAGTTTCAGAGAAATCTTCTTTGATAAGTTCCTTTAATTGCTTTGAATTTGTATTCCACATCCTTAGAGGCATATTTGCTTCTTTCATCTCCTTGTTAGCTTCTCTGTATAAGGATTTCAAATCCTCCTCTTTATTCACAGTACCTTGAAGATTGTCCACATAGAAACTTTTCTTTAAGACTTCTTTGAAGGGACTTTCAGATTTCTTCAAATGTGTATTTAGAGTAGCTTCTAGTAAGAAAGGAGAGGATGTTGCACCAAATAATACTGATTTGAAACGATAAGTTTTCACAGGACTTTGAGGATCATGTGGATTTTCAGGCCACAAGAATCGAGTATAATCTCTATGTATTTCTTGTAGTCCTACTCTTAAGAAAGCCTTGGAAATATCAGCCGTGTAGGCATATGGATTTGTATGAAATTTCATAAGCACGTCTCCAAGCTTCTCAGTTAGTGAGGGTCCGGTCATCAGACAGTCGTTAAGACTTGCTACATCTTTATTAGCAGGTGCGCTGCAATTATATACAACACGTAGTGGAGACCATGATGATTCTCTTCAAATCGCTTGTTCTCTCTAGGCTGGAATACTGCTGTACACTAACGGCCTCCTTCAAGGCTGGCGAAACTGCTGACCTGGAGAGTGTACAAAGAACTTTCACGGCACAAATAAGTGCGATAAATCACCTAAATTACTGGGAACGGTTGAAGGTCCTTGATGTGTATTCCCTCGAACGCAGGCGAGAGGGATACATAATATACACTTGGAAGGTCCTGGAGGGATTAGCACCAAACTTGCACACGAAAATCACTCCCTATGAAAGCAAAAGCCTCGGTAGGAAATGCAACATTCCCCCGATGAAAAGCAGGGGCGCCACGAGTACACTGAGAGACAACACAGTAAGTGTCCAGGGCCCAAGACTGTTCAACTGCCTCCCAGCATACATAAGGAGGATTACCAATAGACCCCTGACTGTCTTCAAGAAGTCACTGGACAGGCACCTAAAATCAGTACCTGACCAACCAGGCTGTGGTTCATACGTCAGCTTGCGTGCTGCCAGCAGTAACAGCCAGGTTGATCAGACCCTGATCCACCATGAGGCCTGGTCTCAGACCGGGCCGCGGGGGCTTTGACCCCCGAAATCCTCTCCAGGTAAACTCCAGGACTCCATGAGTCAGCTTCTGTCTTCAACTTATCTTCGACTACTTCCTCAATGAATTTATTGTCCAACTGTTCTCGTATGATATTATCATAGACAGTCAGTAGCTCTGGATTCTTCCTGAGCTCATGTATTTGTGCTTTCATCTGTCCGAGAGCCATGAGATAATTGCTAGGCAGATGTGGTGGATTTAATTTCCATGGTAACCTAACCCAATACTGTCCATCTTTATATTTGACAGTGTCCAAATATTGGTTATAAGTCTGAGACTCTTGTGGGCTTGGTTTATTTACATCAATACCTATCGCATCTAAATCCCACAACTTATCAACTGGTTCATTCATTTCTTCCAGTAATGATATTTTTTGCTGTGGTACATGATCAGCGGTTATTCTCGTAACTAGTACATTTTCCACTGAATCAATATCAGCTTCTTTCCCACTTTGAGAGGGAATTGGACCACATATCATGTGGCCTCCTGCTGTTTTCAGCAAGTGAACATCATAAATAACAAATAAAGGCACAATACCGTGACTGGAACGATACACAAATAATCCGCACATAGAAGAGAGGAGCTTACGACGACGTTTCGGTCCGACTTGGACCATTTACAAAGTCACACTAACGAGAAGTAGAGCAGGACGGGTATATATAGGCAGGAAGAGGAAGTAGTAGTAGTAGTAGTAGTAGTAGTAGTAGTAGTAGTAGCAGTGGCGGAGATGGAAGGAAATAGTAATGGGAAAGTAAGGAAGAGGAGCCAGTCAAATACAAAAAGAAGGGAGCACTGCAAGGGAGCTAGGTGCCATCAAGGGAGCTAGGTGCCAACAAGGGAGCTAGGTTGTTAGGTAAGACACATATGCAACAGCTAGGTATCTTTATTTCGAAACGTTTCGCCTACACAGTAGGCTTCTTCAGTCGAGTACAGAAAAGTTGATAGAAGCAGAAGAGACTTGAAGACGATGTAATCAATCCATCACCCTTAAAGTTTTGAGGTGGTCAGTCCCTCAGTCTGGAGAAGAGCATTGTTCCATAGTCTGAAACAATATGGAGTTGAAGAGACAGGATGGAGCCTTATATAGCGCCAGGAGGTGAGACGTAGGTCACTAGTAGAAGTAAGAACTCAGATGTTGGGAGGTCAGGTCCCTCTCAAATCCAGCCGTTCTCACTAGTAAAGGTTGTCGAAGTTGATTGCAGGTCTGTACCAAGATACCCTTGTGTTGCAGTGTCTGACAGATTGAACATTAAAATGGTATAAAATACTGACAGGTTGTTAGGTAAGACACATATGCAACAGTTAGGTATCTTTATTTCGAAACGTTTCGCCTACACAGTAGGCTTCTTCAGTCGAGTACAGAAAAGTTGACAGAGGCAGAAGATACTTGAAGACGATGTAATCAGTCCATCAACCTTAAAGTTTTGAGGTGGTTTCGTGTCATCTGTCCCTGTCTTCCCTATTTCTATGGCCTTCCCAAAACTCATAAACCTGATAATCCTCTACGTCCTATCATATCCTCTAGAGGTTCTGTCTCTTATTCTCTTGCTTCTTGACTGGCCAAAACCCTCACTCCCTTTCTTGGTGCTTTTTCTCCTGCCCACCTCCGTCACTCTCAAGACTTCATTGAACGGGTTCGCTCTCTCCCAACCTGTAAGATGCTTAGTCTTGACGTTGAGTCCCTCTTCACCAATGTCCCTCTTGATGATGTCCTTGATTTTCTTAGAGAGAAAGTCCATGAAGGGTTTCTTCATCTCCCTATACCTACTGATGTCTTTCTTGATCTTATCCGCCTCTGTGTGGACTCTAATTCCTTTTCCTTCCAAGGTAAATGTTATTCTCAAACCTTCGGTGTCGCTATGGGCTCTCCTCTCCCTCCTGTACTTGCTAATCTTTACATGGAATACTTCGAGACTGTTCTTCCTACCATCGATGTTCGCCCTTCACTCTGACTCCACTTTGTTGATGACATCTTTGCTCTGTGGCCTCATGATTCCAGTCTCTTCCAACCATTTCTTGGTGCCTTTGATAATCTTGCCCCTTCCATTAAGTTTAAAGCTGAATGGGAGTCTAATTCCTTGCTTCCTTTCCTTGATGTCCATGTCCACCGCTCAGATACAGGTTTTTCCTTTTCCGTTTACCACAAACCTATGCACAGTGGCATGTACATTCACTACTTTTCCTAACATGCTTCCCATGTCAAGAAAAGTGTTCTTGTCTCCCTCTTTCTCCGTGCCCTCCGCATTTGTGATCCTCAGTTCCTTCCAGGAGAAATTTCCACTCTTCATAATTCATTTTCCCGTCTTGGCTACCCTTCCCATTCCATAGACTCTGCCCTCTCACGTGCTAAACATAATTTCTTCTCTCCCAAACTCTCTACTCCTTGGAACTCTTCTGTCCTCTGCCTTCCTACATTTCCAGTCTTTCTAATCTCAACAATTCTCTCCGTCCCTTAAACATCAAGGTTACTTTCAGCCAGACTAACACTCTTCGCACTAATCTCGTTCATACCTCTCCTCCCTCTGCAGATGTTCCTGGTGTCTACTCCATTTCTTGCTCCTCCTGTCCTCTTCAATACTTCGGAGAAACTGGTCGATCTCTTTCTGACAGACTTAGGGAGCACAAAAATAGTGTTAGGCTTGCCGACGCTAACAATGCTCTTTTCTGTCACGTCAGAGATCATAGCCATCCTATTGACTGGTCTTCTGCTAAAACTGTCTTCCCTACTTCCAACTTTAACAATCGCTTTCTTGTTGAATCTTCCCTAATACACAACTTTCCTTGTATGAATCTTAGTCCTGGCTTCGTCTCTGTAGATGCCTTCCTCTCCCACTACATTGTAAAATGCTCCAAACTTCAGAAAACTCGTAACCTAACCTGATTCCTCCATTTTTATTCTTCCCTCTTCCTCTTTCCCTTTTTCTCTTCTGTGTTGTCTTTCTTACATTTGTCTTGTGTTTCTGTTCCTTCATTATTTATTTCATTATTTCCCCTCCCCCCCCACCTCTGTATTCTTGCTCTCCCTCTATTGGCACCTAGCTCCCTCTGTTGGCACCTAGCTCCCTCTGTTGGTATGTAGCTCCCTTGTTGGCACCTAGTTCCCTTGTTGGCACCTAGTTCCCTTGTTGGCACCTAGTTCCCTTGTGGGCACCTTGTTCCCTTGTGGGCACCTAGCTCCTTTGTTGGCACCTAGCTCCCTTGTTGGCACCTAGATCCCTTGTGGGCACCTAGTTCCCTTGTTGGCACCTAGCTCCCTTGTGGGCACCTAGCTCCCTTGCAGTGCTCTCCTTTCTTTGTATTTGACTGGCTCCTCCTCCTTACTTCCCCATTACTACTTCCTTCCATCTCCGCCACTATTACTACTACTACTACCACTACTACTGCTACTACTGCTACTACTACTACTACTACTACTACTACTACCACTACTACTGCTACTACTACTACTACTACTACCACTACTACTACTACTACTACTACTACTACTACTACTACTACTACCTCTTCCTGCCTATATATACCCGTCCTGCTCTACTTCTCGTTAGTGTGACTTTGTAAATCGTCCAAGTCGGACCGAAACGTCGTCGTAAGCTCCTCTCTTCTATGTGCGGATTATTTGTGTAAGTGAACATCATGTTTACTTACTATATTTTGCACAAAACAGTGATAATAATCACTTCCAATGATTAAATCAATTGGACTAATTGTGTCCGTCTGTATGTCAGGACAGGCTAACTTGACCTTAGCTGCTTTCAGTGCTGCAACTGTTTCTTTTAATCCCTGGATCTGCACAGACTTAGGCAAATCATCTACTACCACAGTTTCTACTGTCTTTTTCCTGTTTCCTAGACCAACAGTGATTCTGGCTAGGTCATATGTCTGTTTACCAGAACTTCGGAAAGAAACATCTCTATGTAACTGTATTTTGGCATGGGTTTGTTTATTCATTTTCTGCAACACTGTTCTTCTTATGAAGACCCTTTGTGAGCCTTGATCAAATAGTGTTAGCACATTGGTTTTGTGTAATTTATTAAATAACTCAACTCAAGCTATTGGGAGAGCAGTCGATTTAGACGCATCTCTCACATTGAAAGTTGTTGTCGTTTGTTGTTCAGCGTAAGTGCTTGGGCATAATGCTGTATGATGCATACCCTTGCATTTAAAAAATTTCTTCAGTGAGCATTTATCTCCTTTGTGTTCACCTAAACACTTTGTGCACTTTTACAGCCTATGAGCACGGTGTTTACGTACCTTCATTGATGTGTATTGATTACAATACTGTGCCCAATGTGTTCCATCACAAAGTACACATTTTGGAGTACGTTTATTTGTGACAGTTTGTTTACTGTCTGTTGTATTCACAACTTGATATGTGACTACATGGGATTTCCCATTCTGTGATTTAGTGGGAGTAGGTATACTCTTTTTATACTGAGTTGAATGTTTAGTATCCATAGTAGGATTTGTGGATTTAGAGTTGTGAAGTTTAACCTCCTAACTTGGCTCCTGTCAACCAGCCTATGGACCAACAGGTGACTTCGAATTTTTTACAACTTTACAGGGAGGTCCTGTTTTAAAAGTGTTTTGAGATGACTTTTGACACTGACCTAACTCACAGAGACTTTCGAAGAGTCAGTCCAACATCCTCCAGTGTGTGAAGCTGATAATTAAATAAAGAAAATGATTATAGTATGTGTTCTGCGCTTTGGGGGTAACTTATTCTTGCCCAGAACCAATTACTACATTTACATACATTGAAATGAGAAATACTGTTTCGGACATCGAACTTTTCGCAGTTCGAACAGCACTTAGGAACCAATTAAGTTCAAACACCGGGATTCCATTTTTTTTTTAATCTAATACAAGTATATTGAACTGATACACTAAAGAAAACTGTATACTCTCAGAGAGCTCTGGAAAAAAAGTAGTGTAATAACCATATTTATAATATTATTACGACTATTATCAATAAACAACAGAACTGTTTATTAAAGTTGTTAATTCAACTTGTTATTTTTTTCAACAGTAACAACAGGTTCTTCACAGAACACAACAGTCTACTAAGTCACTTTACCCTAACTTAATCTAAGAATCTACATTAACAAATATTATCATTTTACTATATAGACTTTAGAATTTTAATTCATAAGGAATTCTTGTCTAATCGTTACGTATTTCTCAAACTCTAAATCAAAGGATTACCACTGAATTAATTTTTTTCTTATTATTGATTGAAAAAGCTAAATTAGATTTTTTTTTTTGTAAATTAAGTTTTATGTAAATTAAATTATTATTAATAAAACGTCTTATAATCAGAATAGTAAAAAAATGGTTACAAAAAATTATTTTCTATTTTGTAAGTAAGAGATATATTTAGATACTGGAAATTAAAATAAAATACTTATGAATAAACGACAAGTTATTAATCCAATATTCTGAATTATAACTTAATTAAAAACGTTTCCTCTATGACCTGACTCATTGTAACAATATTTACTTTCGTATATATGGAAGTACACGACATAAATAACCAGTCTTTTATTCTTTACAGTAAATGTTTATGTAAATAATATTTATAATGACAGAGTAAATTATCAGAGTCCTTCAACACTTCGTCTATACTTGTATTTATTGATAAAGAAATTATGGTCAATAATTTTACAGAGTCAACAGAAGCCGTAATAAAGTTAAACATTTTAATAATGCACATTTCTTTATCAAAATAAAGCTAATATAGTCTTCAAGTTAAAATAAATTACACATATAAACTTACTTATATAAATGTGTCAGCACTTGAGAAACGTGTTCAGGTTCTAGAGGTGTGTCAGTATTTATGGTAAGTTGTACTCCATTGTGGAAAAATTTGTTATTATTCATGGCTATTATGAGATCCAGCCTTTTATCACCTGGGTGAAGCCAAGTGACCTCGTCGCTATCACGCCTATAATAACACATGATAATTATTATCAGAATTACTACTGGCAATACATGTTGCTTAATACACTGTATAATGTATCAGAATTAGTACTGTAAATACATATTGGTTAATACATTGTATAATGTATCAGAATTAGTACTGGAAATACATATTGGTTAATACATTGTATAATGTATCAGAATTAGTACTGTAAATACATATTGGTTAATACATTGTATAATGTATCAGAATTAGTACTGGAAATACATATTGGTTAATACATTGTATAATGTATCAGAATTAGTACTGGGAATACATATTGGTTAATACATTGTATAATGTATCAGAATTAGTACTGGAAATACATATTGGTTAATACATTGTATAATGTATCAGAATCAATATTAAGAAATGGATAAGCTATGTGGAAAATTCTGTAAGTATTTTAAGGAAATACAGTATTTTATATGTAAGTTGATGGCCTATATTGTATTTAATAAAAATTATATTATAAAAAATGGAAAGCTCGGCGCCTGCGCTGACGAGCAGGAAGAATCACAATTGTGTTTTTGAATGAGCCAAGAAAACGTTAGTGAAAATAAGAAGATTTTTCGTCGCTCTAGAGGTTATATTGGGCTTACACCTCCCAAATAGGAGCCGAAATTGTTGTATGTGCATTTCTGCATAATTTGAGGATTAAATCGATGTACAGGACAGCTCCAGGAACCTCAGATAAGCTATCTAACTTACGTTTGTAATTCTGGCCAGTGTTATCATCATAAATTTAGTTAGAGGGAGGTTTTGGGTATTATACATAGTAATCTCAAGACTAATTGGTGAGTGTTATGATTATAAATTCTCCTTCTGTTATGTAAATGTGTATATGTAATTATTTATTAATTTTAATATAGAATTCATAAAAATTATAATAATTTTACCAGAATTCCTGGTGTGCATGTACATTTCACTTGTAATTAATATAGGTCTAGAGCAACTTGTGGATATGAGAGTTGTAGGTATCGAAGGGGGACATTTTTGTGACCTAGGTGTCCCAAATTCCCACTTGTCTATGTAACTTTGATAAATAATAATTATCTTAGTTACCATTTACTGGTATGTACCTTATGTTACGTCCAAGTAAATGTAATTTTCCATAATTTGCCCGTTGGTCCTTCTTGAACCAGAGGTAATTAGTGAAGTCATTAATTAGTGAATTAATTACTTAATAATTATATGTGAAATGACAGAAGGAGGTGGATGTTAAATCCACAAATATAGTTAATGTGTAGTGGATTATAATTTGTATAACATTAAATTTGCTAAGCCAAATCTGGCTAAAGTTTATATTAATGTGTATTTAAAATTTATATTATAATTTTCTTACATGTGTAATTACTAAGCTCAAGTGTAGCTAACATTATTAATGTGTATTTAAAATTTATATTACAATTTTCTTACACATAATTGCTAAGCTCAAGTGTAGCTAGGATTTATTCAAAGGTAAGTTGTAATATTTACCTTTATGAAGTGCATAATTTAGTACATAATCAGTGTTATTAAATAAGTTCAATTTAATACATTGCATCATGGGTGAAAATGAGGAAATTAATGTAGAAGACAAACATATGGAATATAGAGCAAAAAAAAGCATCACTGCAAGCTAGAAAGGGTCATATAACAAAGGCATATAATAAATGTTTGGAATTAATGAATCAAGAAACTGTGAAAACTGATGATTTAAAATTGTATTTAGATGCTTTAGGTAATAGATATGATTCATACAAATTATATTATAACAAATATGAAGGAGATTTGTTAGTAAACTGTGTAGATGAGACTGAAGTAGATCTTATGATTAACCAGTATTATGAAATAGAAGAAAAGATTCTTTCTTGTAAAAGTCAGGCTTTGAATAAATTAAAATGTGTAAACCAGGCAGTTAATCAGTCTGCTCCAACAAATAATATATCTTTGCCAAAACTCCCAGAATTATGTTTACCTGTATTTAATCCTGGTGAAAATTGGGAGGAGTTTTGGTGTATTTTTAAAGCAGCTGTGCATGACAGGAGTGACCTAGCCTATGTAACTAAATTATTTTACCTCAAAGGACAGATAAGAGGAGATGCTCATATACTCATACAAGCCTTTCCCAATGTAAATGATTCTTACAAAGAAGCAGTTGACTTGTTGAAAGTCACTTATGGTAATACAGAACAAAGTAGGTTGGTTCTAGTGAATATCATTGTTAATTTAAAATCTCCAGATCACACTTACAAAGGTTTACAGCAGTTTAGAGTTAAATTGGAGAGCACTCTCAAAACTTTAAGTAATAAATATAATCTGAAGGAATCGGACTGGTTATTGAGTGCCATGGTACAGAATAAATTAAACTATAAAACACTTGAATGGCTCTTCAAACAAATATCACAAGGGTTATTTTGGTCTGGAGGAAATAAGACTAGGTCTACAAGAATTAATTGTTCAGTTGCAGACCAGCCAACCAACTCATTCTGAAGATGCAACACATAATAACTCTGAGGTATCTGTCAAGTTTCACAAAGGGAAAAACTATCCCAATGTTAATAATCAAAATTCATTTCCTAAAAAGAGTTACATAGGTGCATATCAAGTAGCAAGAATCAGAAATAATGATTCTCCACAAGGTAAGAAGAATAAGTACCCTCCTAAGAGTAGCCCAGTTAATAAGAAACCAGTCAAAGAAAAGAGAGATTGTCTTTTCTGCAAGGGTACTCATTTTGCTAAGAACTGCAATGCATACAATTCATGGAATGATAAGGTTGAAAGATTGGAGGAACTTGACAGATGTATCAGATGTCTAGGTAATCACAATGTAAAGGATTGTCATGCCAAATTAAATAACTGTTATAAATGTCACAAAGGAAGACACCATATAGTCATCTGTAAAGGTCTATATGATAATATTGATAATAATGATAATGTTGACAATCCAGACACAACAGTGGCTAATGTAAAAATTGCTGCTAATGTTAATAATGATGGTTTTGCTGAAGTAGCCTTACCTGTGTTACAGGTAAAAATTGATGATAAAAGGCATAAATCAAAAAATGTAACTGCATTATTAGACCAAGGATCCCAGCGTACTTTCATAAAACGTAAATGTCTTGATGGTATGAAAGTACAGATGGGAGATCCTTCAACTTTAATTAAAATTATCTGGTTTTCTCTCAGATAAAAGGGCTCAATTGTATGACACTGTTTATGTAACTGTCAGGTTGGGCAATGAGAAAAAACGTGTTAATGCAGTAATTGTAGATAGACTTCCAGAGAAAATATCTACAGTAGGGCTTAGTAAAGCTACAGAAAGACTCTCACAATGTAAATTTAGCACCTTCTGGTGTTAATGATGATTCTGTAGGCCCAATAAATATTTTGATAGGTAGTGACTATTATGCCTCCTTTGTAAAGGGTATGGTAAAGAAATGTGGTGTCACCCTTTTGAAGACTGCAGGAGGACATGTAATGTATGGTAGGATTCCTCGTAATAATAATTCATGACTAGAGGAAACTATAAATACCATAATTGTGTGTCTTACTCATGAAGTCGTGCCCCAACATAACTCTTCCATAGAGGATGGTGTTGAGCCAGTGCATAAATTGTGGGAATTAGACAGCATTGGAATAAATGTAAATGAAGAAAGTCCAGACGATTCTATTACTCAGGAACAATACCTGAGAGATGTAAAATTTGAATCTGGACAATACTGGGTACGACTTCCGTGGAGTCTGAACCATCCAGAATTGCCCACTAATTACAGAATGGTATATGGACAATTAAAGACTCAGCTCCGCGAACTGAGTAAGACTCCAGAATTGTTGACTGCCTATAATGATATAATTACTGAACAATTAATTAATAAATTTATAGAAGAGGTACCTCCTGAGCAAGCCAAAATTTATGGTCACTATTTACCACATCACGGAGTGAAGAAGGATTCTAAGATCACTCCTCTGAGGATTGTGTTTAATTGTAGTGCCAGGAGTAACAAAAATGTACCTAATTTAAATGACTGTTTGATGACAGGTCCGTTGTTGACGGAAAAATTAGGAGATATCTTATTAAATTTCAGGATGAAGAATTATGCCTTTACTGCTGACATAAGTAAAGCTTTCCTAAGAGTGGGTTTACAAGAGGCTGACCGGGATTGTACCCGCTTCTTATGGCCTGAGAATCCTAGTGACCCACTTAGCCCTCTGAAAACCTTTCGCTTTAGGAGCGTATTATTTGGTGCTACATCCAGTCCGTTCCTACTTCAAGCGACGATAAATGCACACCTTAAACATATAGGAAGTCCAATGAGTAATGGAGTAATTTGTTAATGTTCGAATCTAATAATTACAGTATGACCAATAAATTAACTAAGAGAGTTTTGCTTGCTGAAGTTTTCAAATGTTTTGATCCACTAGGTTTAGTGTCACACCTTACTATAAGAGGGAAATTATTAATACAAGAAGCATGGAAGCCAAAATGTGCTTGGGATGAAACTCTGCCTGAGGAATTCGTTAACAGGTGGGATAAATTAATTGGCAATTTTAAAAAAATTCCAATGTTGGAGTTCCCACGCCAGGTGGCCAATCCAGATGGGAAAAATATACTCCACATTTTTTGTGATGCTTCAAAATTGGCGTATGGAGCAGTTGGTTACCTTTAATGTAATAGTGTTATTTCTCTTGTTATGTCTAATTCTAAAGAGTCTCCAATTAAATCACGTACCTTACCTCAGTTGGAATTAACAGCCATTTATGTAGGTGTCAAATTAGCTAATTATATAAGAAATAAGTTGCAAGAAATAAATTAGATAAATATTCCTATTTGTCTATGTAACTTTGATTAATAATAATTATCTTAGTTACCATTTACTAGTATGTACCTTATGGTACATCCAAGTAAATGTAATTTTCCATAAGTGAAGAACAAAATGGATAAGTGAAGAACAAAATGGATAAGTGGAGAACAAAATGGATAAGTGAAGTACAAAATGGAT